ACACAGTGAGAGAGGGAACACAAGCAGGAGGAGTGGGAAAGGGAGAAGCAGGCTTCCTATGGAGCAGGGAGCCCGATGCGGGGCTCGATCCCAGGATCCTGGGATCATGACCTGAGCCGAAGGCAGACGCTTAATGATTAAGCCACCCAGGCGCTCCCTGAGTTAATTTTTGAATACAGTGTGAGGTAAGGACCCAACTTCATTCTTTAGTGCTCTAAGGCCTGCTTTCCCAGCACCAACTGCCCTTTCCCTGTCTTGGCATCTTTGTCAAAAATAATTTGACCATATGTGTGAGGGTTTATTAGGTTTCCATTCTATTCCTCTCGTCCACGTGTCTCTTGTTATGCCAAGACCACACTGTTTTGATGACGACAGCTTTGTAGTAAGTTTTCAAATTAGGAAATGTGAATCCTCCAACTTCTTTCTAAAGATTGTTTTTGTTATTTGGGGCCCTTTGCAATTCCATGTGAATTTGAGCGTTGGCTTTTCCATTTCTACAAAAAAAAAAGGCCATTGGAATTTCGGTAGAGATTTCATTGGCTCTGTAGACTGCTTTGGGTAGTACTGTCATCTTAACACTATTGTCACATGTTTACAGATGTGGGTGTCTCCACTGATTTAGGTCTTCTTTAGCATTTTTTTCAGCAGTGTTATGTAGTTTTTGAGTGTACAAGTCTTTGGTCCTCCTTGTTTTTTGGTAGGTATTTTATTTTTTTGGATGCAATTGTAAATGAAATTGTTTCCTTAGTTTCTGTTTTAGATTGCTCATTGCTGGTGTATAGAAGCACATCTGATTTGTTGGTGTTGATTCTTTTCCCTGTAACTTTGCTGAGTTAGTTTATTAGCTCTAGTGTTAATTTCTTTTGGTGTTTTCTCTTTTGGTGGATCATTAGAATTTTCTATCTATAGGATCACGTCATCTGTGAATAGAGGTGGTTTTACTTCTTTCTTTTTAAAGCTTTTTGTTTTTTTGACTAATTGCTCTGGCTGGAGCAATTAGTGGTGTTAAGTGGCACTGACGGTGTTAAGTGGCACTGACGACAATGGGCATTCTTGTCTCAGTTTGGATCTTCGGGGGAAAAGTTTTTACTCTTTCACTGTTGGCTCTGGGTTTTTGCTAACTACCGTTTATTATGTTGAGGAAGTTTCCTGAGGGGCTTTTCTCATGAAAGGGTATTGGATTTTGTCAAATGCTTTTCCTGCATCAGTTGAGAAGACTGTGTGCTGTCCCTCCCTGCCCCCCGCATTCTGTTGATGTGATGTACGGCAGTGATTGATTTTCTTAAGCAATGCCATTTGGTCATGGCATATAATCCTCTTATCATGCTGTTATTTTGCTAGTATTTTGTTGAGGATTTTTGCTTACAGATGCAAAGATTGTAAGGGATATTGGTGTCTTTGGCTTTGTTATCAGTGTAAAATTGGCCTCATGAGTTAGGAAGTTTTCCCTTTTCTAATTTTTTGGAAGAGTTTGGGAAGGATTGGTGTTAATTCTTTTAAAATTCTTGGTAGAATTCAACAGAGAAGCCATCTTGTCCAGTATTTTTCTTTATTGGGAGGTTTTTGATTACTGATGCAGTCTCTTTACTTGTTATTGATCTTTTACAACTTTGTTTCTTCCTGAGTCACTTTTGGTAGTTTGTGTGTTTCTAGGATTTTGTCATTTCAATGATGTGATCTAATTTTTTGGCATACTGTTGCTCATAGCAGTCTTGTAATCCTTTTTATTTCCATAAGGTCAGTAGTAATGTCTCCACTTTACTTTGATTTTAGTTATTTGCATCTTCTTTCTCTGTCAGTCAAGCTAAAGTCTTGTTAATTTCATTGATTACTATAGGAGTTTAAAGGTCTATTTGCTGATATGTCAGTTCCACTTTACTCAGTGGCTTTGAAACTGCATCCCTGAGGATGATGGCATCTTTGTACTGTGTGGATACAGGGCAGAGAGATCAACGGGGGGAATGGACCCAGGGAACAGGTGGTTGTTGTGCTGCTGAGCAGGGGACCTTCTCAGCAGATGGAGGCAAACAGCTGCCTCAGGACTCGAGAGGCTGCCCTTCCCAGGAGCCTGTTCACTTCTAAAAGGGATGTCAATCATAAGGGTGCTGGGGGCTTGGGGCTGAGGGGTGCTTGGGGGTGACAAATGCATGTGATAAAATTGAAGATAAAGGCTGCAAATCCATTCATCTGGAAATTAAAATCCCCCCCTCTATTTTTTTTTGACGAGTTAACCGGGAAATCAACATTTCTAGAATTCAGAGAAGGTTCACAGCGTCCAGCAGAGGCTGCAAGTACAGCTGGGGGTCTTTAGCCGCATTTCCTAGAGATGAGAAGGAGGAATAGAAAGAAATGGAAGTTTTCAGTCCAAGACGGCAAAGAGTGAATGCCTGGACTGTGGAGGAAGGAGCTAGTGAACAGGAGAGCTGACGGGAAAACCCAGTGTTGGGGCTTTGAGACTGACGAGATAAGAAAGGAAAGCCCAAAGTAAGCATTAGGAATGGAGAAGGGCCATCACCCCAGAGAGGGGGAGAGTTATGGAAGTTACAGGGACATGTGGTGAACAGCGTGAGTAATCGCAAAAGAAACTTGAGTGGAACAGTTATGAGTAAGAACTGCTCAGGTTCCCCAGGCCCCACCTGGGCCAATTTTAGTCATCTGTAACATTCTTGGATTCACCACTGTGTCCATCCTCCTGCAGAGCCCCTGGGCCTGAGGTGTGTGGACCGTGTGCAGCCAGCCCCCTGTGGCCTGGGACTGCAGAGCATAGACCGTCCCAGTGCAGATGCAGGAGACCCAGGGGGAGAGGGGGCCACACCAGGAACTTGATGCCCCAGCGGGTCTCTGACCTGAGGACCCTCTCAGCAAGTGAGCAGATGCCTACGCCCCACGGTTGGACGAAGGCTTGTGCACACCCTGCCTCACATGTGGCATGGGCTGCTGTCCCTGACCCCTCCCTTGAACCTTGGCACTTTCCCCTGCCCCTTGGGTTTTGGAGGGTGAGGGCAGCATCTCTGGCATGTTGACCTAAGCCTGACGCCCTCGGCTTCTGCCACGTCTGTTTCTTACCAGCGGGGAGGAAAGAATGCACTCAGTCCACCTGGACACAGCTGTCCGGGGCCTCCTCAGACCTGGGTGGCTGGGGAGGAAGGGTGGGCTCACATCCCGTGTCCCTGAGCCCCCATCTCCTGAAGTTTCTCTTGTGTTGACCAAGAAACAGCAGATTCCGAGAGAGGGCAGTGTCGGGCAGAGCAGATGCAGAGTTTGGGCCTTTCTCCTTTGTGAGGGGGACGGTTTATCCCGGCCAGGCCAAGCCCCCACCAGCCTGGTGTGTGACCACGAGTGGCTTGGGCCCTGGAGGGGTGTGGGCTGTGTGGGTGCTGGCACGGGGGCTGCCACAGCAAAGGCCCTGTGGCCTGGTAGGCTGGTGGGGTGACGTGCTGACCCCAGGCTTGTGCTCCGTGAGGTGGGGTAGCCATGGGAGGATTGCGAGTGGAGGAGGGATGCAGTCTCTCAGGAGGCTGTGGGCCTCTGGCTAGGCTCTGTCTGCTGACTCATGGATGGAGGCTGGGGGGCCCTTAGCCTCTGGAAAGGTGGAGGCTGGGGGAGGAGATCTGATGGGGTCCCTTTCGCCAGAGGCTCCAGTGCCTGGACCTGGAGTCCCCTGCAGTGGCCCCCAAGGTGAGCAGATGTTTGTCTTGTCCCAGGACGGGTATGCAACCAAGGCCTAAGCATCGTGTGTCTCTTAGGGGTTCCTGGGAGACTGGGGTGGGGGGTGGGTGTAGAGCTGGACTGAGGACCAGAGAGGAGGCCCCGGGCAGGGGTTCTGAGTCCCTGGGTGGCAGTGAGCCCAGAGTGCAGCAAGAAGGGCTGGCAGGGTGGCCACCCAAGCCCAGGCCCCCTGCCCACTCTGGTGCCCCCCCGACTCTGCCCCACAGCTCCCGGGACAGCCCCCCGGGAAGGGCTGCCCAGGCCACGGTGGGCCGGTGGTCAGCTCCATGCGGCTGCCGCGGGCAGACTTGCTGGCTCCAGGCTCCTCGTCTGAGGCCGAGTCTGTTCTGAGACAGACACAGGGAGCCTGTTTCCCTGTGAGCAGGAACACGGCCTCTCTGTTGGCACCTGGACTGGCTGGCCCCCCAGGCGGGCTGTTGGGGGCGGGCGCTCCACACAGACTGGCGCTTGTGCCCACCTCGGCCGGGCCTCCTGCCTGAACCACCTCGTTCGTGCTGGGACCCTCTCTGGTGCAGCCAGGCCCGCTGGACAGTTGCGGGGGGGAGGAGGGGTGGACTGTCCGGTGACCAGGGCAGGGGCCTGTGCCACCCCGGTGCTTGGCTGGTGGTTCAGCAGGGAGACTGCCCCTCAGGTGGGACTTAAGTTTGCTCACAGCTCACATCAGGCAGTAAAGAATTGGGGCCACACCCCACTTCAAATGGCAGAGGGCCCCAGAAGGATCGCCAGGCAAAGAATCATCTAGTCAGAACTGCTGCTGTGGGCACTCCCAGGGCCCAGGCCTGCAGGTCAGGGAGGGTGGGGCAGGGGGGAGGACGTGGTCACAGAGGTGGTGGTGGCCCGCCCAAGGAACAACAAAGGGCTTCTGTCTGTGCCTCTGGATGCTAGACCTGGGGAGGCACGAAGGTTCTGAGCAGGACTGGGAGCTGTGGCTTCTCCCTTTCCCAGGCCTCTCCTGGACGTGGGGGGACGGATGTGGGGTGCTAAGAGCACAGGCAGGGAGTGGCAGCGTCCTTGTGGCCACACCAAGCGTGTGATGGGGTTCAGCTGCCCGGGTGTAGGGGCCTGACTGGGGACCAGCCCTCCCCTGTGCTTTGGGGGCGGGTGGACACCATGGGGTCATGCGCTTCATGGGGCTCTCTGTGATGAACTCAGGATGAAAGGAGGGGACATGCCGGCCCAGGGACCCCCTCCTCTCTTAGCCTGCTTTCCAGGAGGTCTGGGTGCAGGGCAACGGTGCCTGGGCACATGACACTTCACTCCAGTGGCTGGGCCTTCCTGCTTTATTCCTCTGCGCACAGACCTGGGGCCGCTTCTACTCCAGTTCCGGGTATGGCCACTCCCGTGACCGAAAGTAGTCCTCTAGGTCGCGGAGGCTGAGTGGGGGGAAGTAGGGGCCGATTCTCTTGCGGACCCACCACTTGCCTGCAGCAGCGTGCTGGCCCCCAGGGCGGCTGAACTTGTACCTGTAGTGCTCGCCCCGGACCCACCTGTAAGGGGACACCCCACGTCAGGCGGCCTGTCCCTCTGCCTGCCGAGCTGCCACTCCTTGGAGGGACAGACCACCAGGCCCTGCCATGGGGATGTCTGGGAGAGGGCCAGATATGCAGCTCTGGATTCCATTGGCATTGAGGGGCTCGCTTTGCCTTCTGGAGGCCCCCACCCCTTGAGCAGGCCAGCATTGTGTGACAAAGTTGCTGGCCCAGAGCCTGGGGACCTTTACACCCAGACACGTTTTCTGGGGTCCCGAGCACGGCTGGGGATCCATCTGTAGGAGGATCCCTGAGAGGCTGCGGTCAACAGGGGTCCCGTTCAGGAGGGGAGTCCTACCTGGGGGGTGCCCTGTCCTCGAAAGGGTTGAGGGCCAGTAGGGACACAGCCGTGGCGTCATTGGCCAGGAGCCTGCCTGCCAGGTGGATGATCCACTCATTGTGCTCGTAGGTCTAGGGGTGAGAAAGGGAGGGGGTGCTGGCTACAGACACAGAGCCAGGGATGCAGGGAACCCTCGGCTCCCTGCCTGGTCACCCTCCTGTGTGGTGGGGGGTTAGCCTCTCCTGCCTGGTGGGCCCACCCTCCCTCTCTCCTCTGGCTCATTGGGCAGGTGTGTGTAGATGGCTCCTCTGTGGGGTGGGCTGGGGCAGCGCGGTCCTGTTCTCGGGGAGTGGGAGCTGGGCTCTCAGTGGGGGCGCCTGCCAGCCCTGGGGTCTCACATGAGTGACGGTCTTCACAGGCAGATGGGACAGGGGCAGCCCTACCAGGCCTGTCTTGTCATCGCTGGTGGGGACACCCTGGCCCTCTGCACCGATAGACCCTTGTGCGAGGGTGTCCAGGCAACGTGGAGACCCCCACCTGGGCTGTCCAGACGCAAAGCCTGTGCGCACAGAGAACACCAAGGGAAAGACCCAGGAGGAAGATGTGGCCCAGGGGGGCTGGGATTGTGCCCTGGGTGCCACATGCTGTGTGCCCGGCCCACTGCCCTGGGGTGCGGTGCTGGAGGGGTGAAGATGTCCCTGTCCCATGTCAGCGAGGCCCGGCGGGGGTGTCACGTGGGGGTGTCACATGAGGGAGTGACCTCACCCCCACCAGCCACTTGGGGCATCCCCACCAAGGTGGCCGCAGCCTCGGGAACACACCCGGGAGGGGAGGGGAGGGGAGGGGAGGCCCTTACCTGGAAGGCGGCGAACCACATGAGCCAGTCCAGGCGGTGGTGGTAGGGGGAGATGAGGCATGGCCGCCGCCCTGGGTCACCCGGCTTGCACTTGAACTCGTAGTCCTCCCACACGGCGTCCGGCATGCTGGCGTTGGGGCTGGCTGTGCCCTGCAGGATGACTTCCGTGCGCTCCTTGGTGATGCTGCGGGGAGACCGAGGCAGGGGCTCTGGGCGCACGAAGGCAGCTGCTATGCTTCTGCACCCTGGCTTCTTTCCGGAGCCAACCAGGGTGAGGGGCTGCCCCCTGGAGGGTCGGGGGGGGCTCCCTCAGGGCCCTGGGTCCCATGTGTGCACACAGTGGACAGGGCGAGGAGCGGCTGCACCCGTACCTCCCAAAGGCGCCGTATGTGTTGACGATCCTGAGAGGGTTGAAGGTGGTGTTCATGATCTGTGTGGGACTCAGCAGGTTGATGACCACGGGGACACTGAGCCAGGCCACCAGGATGCCCAGCGCCATGTGCACTGCCCGCCGCACCATGCAGCCTGGTGGGGGGCAGAGAGGGGGATGGTGGGGTGAGCTCTGCTTTTGGGCCTGGACCCTCGCCAGCCCCTTACTCCCAGGCCGGGTCTCTTTGTGAGGCTGATGTGGAAACTGTCTAGTGGGCTGGCTGTCCACTCACCGTATCGTGGGGGGGGCCGGGCCCCTTGGGCAGCCTCCTCCTGCAGCTTCAGGACTCGGTCCTTAAGGCCACCGGGCCCGGAGGGAAACAAGAACCCCAAAGTGGCGTCATCAAAGCAGGCCACGCTGGGCACCATGGTCAGCCAGTTCAGGAAGCTCAGGTTCCCGCTGATGATGAGGACCACCTGGAGGGGACAGGGCAGTGCCTGAGCCTGGGGAGTCGCCGAGGACCACAACCGCGGCAGACTCTCTGCAGGGCGTGGTGGCTATGGTGCTGGTGTGGGGGGGCAGCAATGCCTGGAGGGCCAGCCTTTTGAGAAGCAGACACGGTGCTCGCGCCGATTCTTGAGGTGCCTGAGGGCCGGGCCCCTGTCTCCCCACAGGCTGCATGCCCGTCTCTCTGACCACTGGGCCCACGCATGTCCATGCCTCAGCTGATCTTCGAGGAGGGTTCTTGCTAGAGCCCTGAGCGGGACCCAGCCTGCAGACACCCCGGTTCCGGCCTCCGAGGCTGCTCGATTCCTACCCACAGAACTGGGAGCTGGCCACTTTGTGCGGTTTGATGCTGTAGTCTGTGTTTGGGGCAAGTGCTCTGGTGACTGTCAGTGGGTACGGGTCTGGAGCGGCCCCCGGGGACCTGTGCCCGAGTCATGTGGGAGGTAGACGAGGCTCTTGCTGCTCACCTGGAAGTTAGGGGTGAGGGGGCACCTGTCTGGCTGCCCTGACCTGCACATCTAGCAGCCCACCAGACACGTCCACAGTGACCACGCATGAGGCCGGCCTGGGCGTCTGCTGGGTTAGGTGTGGCTTCGCGGAGTCCGACCTCCTGCACTTTCTAGGCTCTGTGAGACGGAGCTGGCCGCTGTTCCTCCTCAGAGGCCTTGAGCAGCCCTGGCTGGCTCTGCCACAGTGTCTGGGGTGACAGGAGGTCTAGGAAGTCCAAATGGGCCTGCCCTGTGTCCCAGTCCTGCTGGGCTCGTCTACAGACTTGGTACTAACTGCACGGTGGCAGTTTTCCCATAAGGCTCACCCTAAAAACTACTTAGCATCTTGGTCTTAAGAGCGACGGTCAGAGAGTCTCCGGGTGGACGGAATGCCGACACCCTGGGGGTTCCCCACACCCCCAGCCCGTTTCCCAGCGAGCTGCTGGCTGTCGGAGGGCTGCAGCCTGGAGCCGCCTCTCAGCTGGGACTTCTGGAAAGTTCCTTCTAGCAGCTGCACATTGTGTACATTGTTTTAGTGACTTAGAAATAACATCTTTGGCCCGCTTATGATGACCTTGTCACTGGGCACCAGAGGGTGAGGAGGGGAGGCTGCTGCGCCCCTGCCCTGCCCACAGGCAGCAGGCTCTCTGAATCCAGCCAGCCCTCAGAGACTGTGGGCAGCACGGCTCGCAGCCCAAATGCGCCTGATGGGGGGCCTCCTGTGCGGGAGGTCTCCGAGCAGGCCCTGATGCCCTGGGGTGCAGCTCCCCAGACGTGAACAGACTCTCTTAGAGCAGCATGGACTCAGGAACCCGTCAGGAACAGGCAGTGAGGAAGCAGCCTGGACCACGCATTCCTGGCAGATCCTCATTCTTACTTTTTAAGTCAAGTTCATTGAAACACACAATAAAACGCACTCATCTTAAGCATATAGCTCAAAGGCTTTTGACAGATGTCGACTCTCATGTAAATCACCGTAAAATCCAGAACGTTCCACCCCAGTCCCCAACCCCCACCCTACGACCTGTGAACTGACCTCTGTCGCCTGTCACTCTGCCTGTTCCTGAACTTGGTGGGCACCAAGCCCCGGCGTCTGCGGTGTCCCGGCTTGGGTCCGAGACCCGCCCAGTGGCGCGTGTGTGTGGAGCTGGGGCGCGCTGCCCTGTGCCTGGACGGAGCTCGCGGGCTCGCCTGGTGCGCCTGTGGGATGGGACGGGGCCTGTTGGAGGCGCCGAAGCCACCGTCCTTCTAAGGCAGCTGCTTTCATGACGCGGTGGCATCTTTAGAAGGGGAGGGCTTAATTCATGGACTTACAAGTTCCCAATTTCTGAAAGCTTCACAACTTGCCGTGTGTCCTGAGAAAGGTTGGGACGTTGATGTCACAGGTCCGGTGGTGACGTTTAGCTGTGAATTAGCTTCTTGCGTGTGGTGGGAGGCTGAGGGCTCCTCCTCACCAGGACTCGGTTCTGGGGCAGCCGGCCCTCTGCTTGTGCCAGGAAGGGAGGAGGGGCCCCAGGACGGGGCAGGGGTGGAGGCCATTAAGGTGTTCACGAGCTGCCGCACGGCCCCAGGGAGAAGCGAAGTTGGACGTGGGACCCGGTGAGTTGGGCAGCGGCCAGACAGACCTGCTTCCGGAGGGACTTTGAGAAAAAGATGAAACCAGAACACTGCAAAATCACCCCAGAGGCGGAAGGAGAAAAGCCAGAGTTTGTCCACACACATGACCAGATGGTCGTATTTCTTCAACAGTACGAACTTCACAAGCTCACGGCTGTCCACCAAGCAGAGCAGGCCGTCTCCTTGCACAGGTGACTGGACTGGTGTGGCGACGTGGCCTCACTGTGGGATGGCCCAGCGCGGGGTGTTGAGGTCAGACCTCCCAGTGTCTGGGGTCCCACTCGTCCTCCCTGGACGGACCGTAGATGCCAGGAGCCAGTCTGCCTCAGCTCTTCTCTGCAGCAGGCGAGACAGCTGATGCCCAGCCCTGTAACTCCTGAATTTTCATTACAGCCGGGTCCTGATCCTGGTGATCGGGGAGGAATGTGAGGTCACAGATGCCAACCTAATGAGGGTCTGGCAGGAGGAGCTGTGCTTTCGATGGGTCGTGTCAGTTTTATGGATTACAACGGCTTTTTACGAGGTGCGACATGAGATGTGTGGATTCATGGCTCTCCCAGGATTAATTTGGAAAACTAGTGTTCTTGGTTCTGAGTCCCCAAATAATGATTTCTCATTCTCCACTGTCTGCAACGTTAACAGCCCCTGGGCCACAGTCTCTCCCACAGCTGTGGTCCCAGCTGGCGGGCTGCTCTGGGCACGCCGGGCTCCTCCCCGGAGTCTGCTGCACGCCGCATCCCTGTGCCTCCTCCCCTGGCGGTGGGGGGCTGACCTCCCAACTTGTCTCCCCAGGCCGGCGGGACCCTGACACTCTGCTCAGCTCCCCAGTCTCTCCCAGCGGTGTCAGCAAGTATCCCTGAAGCTCGGCTATGGCTCCTCCTCTCAGGAGTCTTGGCCATCTGGCAGCTCTGTGCACCTTCTCATGAAAATTCTCATGTTTTGCATGGTGTCGATTGGTGGTCTATCTGGACCCCTTTCAAGACGCTGAGGGACTGGCGGTCTTGGTTCAGCTCGCTGGGGGGGGGGGCGGGCGGCACAAGCTCCCTCCACTGCTCTGTATGACCCGACTGCAACAGAGACGGGGACCCTGCCGCCTTCCCCACACAGCCCTTAGTGGGGCGCATTCCCGAACTCCGTTCTCTTGTGCTGCGTGGGGTGCCAGGCACGTGGGGAACCCTCATAACTGCCCCTCAGAGCCCCTCTCGCACTGCTGACCATCAGCACCCGGCTCTAGCACTGCACTCCCACTCTGAGCCTCGTACTTCCCGGAGACACGGCCACCATTACCAGTGAAAAACCCAGCAGCGGCGTGGCCGTGGGCCAACCTCTGCAGGTGCAACAAGCCCAGCCTGCGCACATACAGAGACACGGTCTTGCCTCTGGCCCCTCACGGCCTCACTGAGACCCCACAGAAACTCAGGCCCAAAACTGCTAATCTGAAAGGGCGCTCCCGTGTGAGGGAGCACAGCCATAAGTATCAGGTGAAAAGCAGACGGGAATCGCTGAAATGGGAATTGGTGCTTCAGAAGACGGGTTTGAGAAACCCTTGAGGGAGGACAGACAGACTGAGCAGCGCCAAGGGCTTCCTGGCAGACCTTACAGAAGCTCCCCAAGGGGGTCCAGGACACCCCAGTGGAGCGATGTGCAGGCTCTGGCGCTCTCTCGTGTCCCAGGATGAATTAGAAGTTAAGATGGTGTGAGCGTTTTGACTGAAAGATGGAAAACGCGGGGAAAGCGGTCCATGGAGTGCCACGCCTCCAGTCTGAGAGTGGAAGGCACGGCACGTGAAGCATTTTTGTCATGTTCTGGGGCTGCCCAGATGTGGGGTCACCCACTCACCTCTTCGGGAACAAAGTGAGGCTGTGGGAGCAGGGTGGTCACATGGTTTCTGCACAGCAGCTACCATAAGGAGGAGGAGGGCCCAGCCATGGGGTCTGGCTCCTCCATGAGAACTGGGCAGAACCATGTGGCCCACTGTCCACCCACACGCTGGGCCTCCCCAAGTTCCATCTGCAAACACCCAACAGTGAGGACAGGGTGAAAGGGGAGCCCCAGAGACCCTGTCCAAGGTGCCCTTTCCATTTCCTCCAGCATCTCCATCCTGTCTGCTTCCGTGGAATAATCTGATCACACATTCAAGCACATCCTTCCTTCCACTTCCACCAAATAGAGCCCAGCAGGGATGAACTTGGGAGTTTCTCGACTCACGCAGAGCCCTCGGTAGCTGGAGTGCCACCTTCACTGACCATGCCCCTTCATCCCGGAAAAGTGGGGCCAGCCTCTGTGGCCCAAGGCCATGACCGTCCTGCCTCATCATCAGGGGCCCCAGGAACACTCTGACTTTGCATCCAGGGCAACTGGCTTCTCAAGGCTAAAGGGCCTGGAGGTAGCAGTGCTGTAGCTGGATGGGGGACAGAGCAGGCAAAGCTTGACCCTGGGCGGCCACACAGAGCCACGCCAGGCTCTGCTGTCCCTGGAGGCATTTAGTGGACCTCGGCCCAGGGAAGGAACCCTTGGAGGGCAGAGCTTGATGCTGGGGAGGTTGAGGTGGCTGGCTGGCGCTGTGCCAGGAAGGAAGCGCACAGACCAGTAGTTGCAGGGATGGCCCAGGTGCCCTCGAGTCTGCCAGCCATGGAGTCATAGGCACGTGGAAGCTCCCACAGGATGTGGGTGGACACCAAGGGGAAAGCCAGGCACACAGCATAGACCCCGCGACGCCCAGGCCTGAGGGTTGGGTCAGACCTGCCCGGCGCGATGAGACGGACTCATGAGTAGGTGAGCTGCTTGGCAGGGGAGAATTCAGCTCCGAGAAGGACACAGCATCCACACCCTCACCAACAGCCCACAGCGGCCAGCGGCCCGTC